TTTCATAATCACGTGAATTAAGACAATATATCGTTATTTTCATTTTGTGTTGATATTACTTAGTTGGTAGTTAGAGTTCATTAAGTTCAATATCTATTATATTTCATATTGTTTTTATTAAGGTTGTACCGAATTATTATCAATAATATATTTGGCCAGAGTTAAGCAAAAATTAAACAATTCTGACCAAACAACAAACAAATAAAAAAAAAATAATAATAATAATAAATTATCATTGGAAAATTTTTTTTAATGAATTAACGCCTGAATAATAATATGTGATAATATTTATTGTTTACATTGTAGTATTTTCCAACAAACATTTTTTTTTTTTTTTTATAATCAATAATAATATTATCAATTGTTTTTTTTTTTGTTATAAAATGTACAATGTTATAATGTTTATTTGGGCGATTGAATTAATTTTGTAAATATTTTAAAAATATTAGAGAACTCGTGTTACACTTATTTCGAAAAAAAAATAAAAACATACAGTATAAAAGATCTAAGAAAGATGAAAGATGAAAGAAGATATTATATATTATATATTATAGTACCAAATGTTACCTGTTACCAAATCTAAAACAAAAATAAATATTATTTTAATAAGATCAACGAAATTATTCTTAAAAATTTCTTATTATAAAATATTATATTTTAAAATATATTACTTTATTAAATATTCGTTTTATGCGATTTTGTTTACATTTCATGTTTAAGTATTTCTAAAATTGATTTTATGCATCCGCCGTTATCTTAATATGAATCCATCAACTTCCCGTTTTTGATTGACGTTGTACATTTAAACCATTTAAAACTTTTAACTTTTTTTTCAACTTTCTTTACGTCATAGTGTCTTACGTTATTCTAGACTAAATTTATTGATTTACAGTATAAACATTATTAAACGATCATTTATTTATTATTTATATTTTGAAAATTCTCGGCGGGAGATTATCTTACTATATTAAACCTGGATTATTCAAGTAAAGGAAGGTGTTAAAACACAATAATTATAATAAAAACATCATGTGGATGATTGTTCAACATTTATTGTGTTCAACCACCTTTTAGTTTAGACTATTCAAATATGAACATTTTCGTACCGGTATTTTCCTACATAGTACTAAAAATGTTATTAAAAATGTTACTATGGTAAAAATGAATTTATCTCTAACGCAAAGTACATCTCTAACGCCAAGTACTTCTAAAAAGGAAAAAAATCTATGACATCATTGTATGAAATATTTAATTAATTTTCATCATTTTTTTTTTTATTGTTAAAAATTCTTTTTTATTATTGTTAATTAATTAATAATAATACCGGACTGTGCATTACATATGAAAAGATAATAATAAATTTTGATCGGTCCTTCATAATTCTATTGTTACCTATTATTACATTTAAAAATGAGGTAAAAATACCAGGATTTTTTGATTCCTAAATTTTCATGCATTACGTTTCAGTCGTTTCAGTAGCATTATGACTTCCTACCTGCATTAAGATTGTGGATGTACATGTGATCACTTTGATCACCAAAAACAAAAAAAAAGGTGTTTGATTAATAAGCAAGATTACTGAAACATGTAATACATATATGCTGGGTCACCTTGAATACTATTTGCCAACGAATGTTATACAAAGTGGGCGTGGTCGGCGTGCATACTTACACACTTGCATGAGTTGCAACATTCCATACATTTCCATACATTCCATACATTCCGTATCACACTTGTTTTCCATATAATTTACTTGTATTATGCGGGTCTTATACATGAAACTCGATAAACGTGCTGCTGTAAACACAAGGTGGTAGTGACAAATAATATGTATAATGTTTCATATATACAATTCTACCAAAAAAGAAAATTCTAGACTAGTCTAAATCATTTGTCACATACGTGTTACTTGGAACATTCAGTAATACATGTATTATTATGCGTTTTAAATAATTTTGGCTGAAACCATGCATGTTAATTTCAGCAGAAATTGTAACGTATAATCAGGTGATGTGCGATACGTTTATGTAAGACGTTGGTTAAACGATAATTAAACGATATTTTAAGTGATAGTTTAATGGTAGGTGAACGATATGTTAGCGATAGTTTCATGATAGGTAAGCGATATGGTTAAACGATAACTAAACGATGAACGTGATGCTGTAAAACACAAGGCGGTAGTGACAAATAATATGTATAATGTTTCATATATACAATTCTACCAAAAAAGAAAAATTCTAGACTGGTCTAAATCATTTGTCACATACGTGTTACTTGGAACATTCAGTAATACATGTATTACTGGAGTAAAATTATGCGTTTTAAATAATTTTGGCTGAAATCATGCATGTTAATGTCAGCGGAAATTGTAAAGTATAATCAGGTAATGTGCGATATGTTTATGTTAGACGATGGTTAAACAATAATTAAACGATATTTTAAGCGATAGTTTAATGGTAGGTGAACGATATGTTAGCGATAGTTTCATGGTAGGTAAGCGATATGGTTAAACGATAACTAAACGATAGGCGAACGATGAACGTGATGCTGTAAAACTCAAGGTGGCAGTGACAAATAATATGTATATATACAATTCTACCAAAAAAGAAAAATTCTAGACCGGTCTAAATCATTTGTCACATACGTGTTACTTGGAACATTCTGTAATACATGTATTACTGGAGTAAAATTATGCGTTTTAAATAATTTTGGCTGAAATCATGCATATTAATTTCAGTGGAAATTGTAACGTATAATCAGGTGATGTGCAATATGTTTATGTTTAAACGAATGGCTAAACGATAGGCGAATGATAGTTAAACGATAGATATTCGACAGGCGGACGATGGTTAAACGATAAATATTCGACAGGCGAACGATGGTTATTCGATAGTTAAACGATGGATATTCGATAGGCGAACGATAAATATTCGATGGTTAAACGATGGATATTCGACAGACGAACGATAGTTAAACGATAGATATTCGACAGGCGGACGATGGTTAAACGATAGATATTCGATAGTTAAACGATAGGTGAACGATGATTAAACGATAGATATTCGATAGATATTCGATAGATATTCGATGGTTAAACGATAGTTAAACGATAGATATTCGATGGTTAAACGATAGTTAAACGATAGATATTCGATGGTTAATCGATAAATATTCGACAGGCGAACGATGATTAAACGATAGATATTCGATAGATATTCGATAGTTAAACGATAGGTGAACGATGGTTAAACGATAGATATTCGATAGTTAAACGATAGGTGAACGATGGTTAAACGATAGATATTCGATAGTTAAACGATGGTTAAACGATAGTTAAACGATAGGTGAACGATAAATATTCGACAATTAAACGATAGATATTCGATGATTATTCGATAGTTAAACGATGGATATTTGATAGATATTCGATAGATATTCGATGATTAAACGATAGATATTCGATAGATATTCGATAGTTAAACGATAGGTGAACGATGGTTAAACGATAGATATTCGATAGTTAAACGATAGGTGAACGATGGTTAAACGATAGATATTCGATAGTTAAACGATGGTTAAACGATAGTTAAACGATAGGTGAACGATAAATATTCGACAATTAAACGATAGATATTCGATGATTATTCGATAGTTAAACGATGGATATTTGATAGATATTCGATAGATATTCGATGATTAAACGATAGATATTCGATAGATATTCGATAGTTAAACGATAGGTGAACGATGGTTAAACGATAGATATTCGATAGTTAAACGATAGGTGAACGATGGTTAAACGATAGATATTCGATAGTTAAACGATGGTTAAACGATAGTTAAACGATAGGTGAACGATAAATATTCGACAATTAAACGATAGATATTCGATGATTATTCGATAGTTAAACGATGGATATTTGATAGATATTCGATAGTTAAACGATAGATATTCGATAGATATTCGATAGATATTCGATAGTTAAACGATAGTTATTCTACATTCAAATAGGATCATGCTTTTTTCATCATGCTGATATTTTTTTATTAAACTATAAATAAACTACTATTGCATAATTATTATTGATATTTTTGACGTTGTTTAATCAATAGTTTATTGTATTTATAAGATGATCATTGGCGGCTGCAGAATAACGCAGTTATTTGATAGGGGGGTTAAAATATCATCCGAACTGCTTCGCAGTACGGTGATATTCTAACCTCCCTATCAAATAACTAATATAGTTAAACGCTAGATATTCGATTGTTTAAACGATAGTTATTCGATAGTTATACAATAATATCATACCACCGACCATAAGATAATTCACAAACACATAGTTAAGTGATATTTTTATGTTCAATGATATTAAATATTAATGATATTGAAATCTGATATCTGTAAACAATTGATCACCGCAGTATTCCTGACCGATACTTATTACAATTTTTTATACTTAACGTACTATACATGCCAAGCCATGCCGAAATATTACGGCACATTACGCCAATTCAACATTACACCGGTGTAATACTGATGTAATACTATTTTCATATGAATTTCGAATAAAAATTTGATGTAATATATTAAATATATTTCACCATTACACTGTCTTAATGCCGAATTACATATGTACAGTATATGCTTAACGGTTATAAAATAAATTCTTTAATTTTTTTTAATTTTGAAACATTTGTTTTTATTTATAATTAATAACAATAAATAATGTTTTAACAATAAATAATGTTTTAATTTAAAAAAATATTGTAGATATTTTAAAAAAACCACCTATTATTTATACATGTGTTGCATTTTATCATATACAGTATATGATCGTATGACAGTCTCTACCTAACCTGACTAATTAACAATAAAATAATTTTTTTTTTTTTTTAATATCAAATTGTAGATATGGGAATTGTAATGATAAAAAAAAAATCGATATAAAAGAAAAATTACATCTGCGCCCGCACAGCAAAATACAGTAATGATAATAAATTTATAGTGACAATCGGGAGAATTTATTTAGGCTATTTCTAATATATTTATCATATTGTTCATTCATAGTATTGGAAGGATTAATTTCCAATAAATGAGTATTATTTGGGGAAAAGGAAGAAATAGGAGAGGGGAGAACTTTATTTTGATATGAATATTTTTGAGGAAAATTTTGATGATATGAATATTTTTGAGGAGAATTTTGATAATATGAATATTTTTGAGGAGAATTTTGATAATATGAATATTTTTGAGGAAAAAAAGGTGAATTAGTCGGGAAAGGAAGGGTTCTTCTATATTGAAATTGCGACGGAGAAGAATTCCTATATTGAAATTGCGACGGAGGAGAATTCCTATATTGAAATTGTGACGGAGGAGAATTCCTATATTGAAATTGTGACGGAGGAGAATTCCTATATTGAAATTGTGACGGAGGAGAATTTCTATATTGAAATTGTGACGGAGGAGAATAAGAAGGACGAGAAGGTGGAGGTGGTAGAAGAGGGGGAAAATTGCATCTATTTTCGCGCCTATTCGGCTTATACGAATAATCTGGCCATAAATGTTTGTGAACTTGTTTCGTTATATAAGATACTCTATCATATAATGTTTTTTGTTCGGCGGTAGCTTCTTTCCACAGTTTACTTACAACTATCGAGACATGTTTTAGTTGGGACGTGAAGGATGGACCTTTTTCAAAAGTTAATCTCGCCTGCTGGTCTTTACGGAAGATTACAAATACGTTTTGGGAACGTGGGGCTTTATTGTCTTTATGCTTTTTTATACCGGGTTTAACCAAGTCTACCAGTGGAAGGAAAGTAAGACTTTCAATTTCCTTTTGCTCATCAGGAGTTATCACAGTACTTATTATACTTTCGATTGTATTATCATCGAATATAAAGTATTTTTCCTGATGTGTGTTCTTAGGAAATGGTATAATAT